GGACGGTTAATTTGATTTTATGCAGTTTTTAGATACTCGTTTTGAAGAATGGTCAAAATAAAAGGTTGAAATAAATGCATATTTCTTGCAATCAAATTGCAGGATTCCTCAGTAGTTTAGGCATCAGGCTGTGCAGCCAGAAACTGGGAATTCAATTCCCCACTATGCCTCCTCCACAGGGGCTGGAGTCAGTGATAAATAGGGTACCTTCTATCTCTGAAGTTCTAAGATTACATTTACTATCAGCGTATTTTCCTCCATGAATGGGATTTCCTCAGAGATGTATGTGCCAGACTTGCAAAGTAAGCACATGTTTACCTCCTAGTAACCAGTCACAAAATAGAACATGATGTGGTGGCACTGTGGGCTAAACCGCAGAAGCCTGTGCTGCAGGGTCAGAAGACCAGCAGTCGTAAGATCGAATCCACGCAATAAATGCACGATACAGAGTGAAGAGGACATAGTTTGGCAAACAGATGTCTTTTGTTACTTGAGGGAGCACTGCTTCTAGGTACCTGCTAGGCATATTGTTCATTTTGACCTTGAATGTAATCCTTTTAAAAACCATTTAAGCATTACCCATTGAATAAAATATAGCTTCCATTTATTTATTGGGCATCTACTTATCTGTTTCCGTCAACAGTCCTGAGTTGAGGACAGGTGAAGGGAGAAAGAAAGGGAATAATCTCAGTTGGTAGTTTTGAGTGCAGAAGATTAGATTACTCGAGTTAGTTGTAGAACGGCAGTTTCCTAGGTTTTTTGTGGAGGAGAACTAGATCAGATAGAAAATCATATTCCAGTTTTTGTGTCAGCTCCCAGCGCGAGGAAGCTCACTGTGTAAGCTAACTGGTTAGCACAGAAGTCCATGATTATAAGAACTCTGGAGCCAGAGTTATTGCGTGTGAGTGGAATTTTCTGGGTTGATTTCTCAGAACAGCTCTTTTGCCTGCCTTTGTCTGTAATTTCAAAAGAGGTTTGGCAGAACAATAATTTTTATTTATTTGTTTTTTTGGATGACATTTCATTGTGGTGTGTTGTGGGTATCTTTCCAAGAGCTAATTCCACCCCCCCCTTTTTCAATAATGAATAACAACAACAAAGAAACAAAAAACACCCCCGTGAAGCGGATGTCAATCTCCTTCGTGAGGCTGCTAGAATAAAGAGACCCTTTGGGAATGTTAGAGCTTCATCAAGACCAATTAGCAGGAGATGCTGCTGGTTGTGTCTAAGCATTAACTACTGGGCAGGGTTGGGGCTTTTGGAGTGGCTGATGCTAGCACGGAACAAGGCACCGACCTAATTACTCCACTGCAAGAGCAGAGGAGGCCTTGTGAATGTCTGCTTGGCAAGCCTTTCTCATTAAGGATAAAATCTCCAAACAAACACAAGGACTCCTCGTTGCAAAAAATTAACACGATAGGTAACCTGTGGCCATGAGATTTCCTTTGTTGCTGTGGGAAATGCAGTGATGCTGCCCAGACTAGACGATGACTTGGTCGCTTCCCAAATAGGTGATGACGTGAAACCAGCAATTATTCTTTCGCCAGAGTCATCTTCTTCCCTTGATTTGCAAGGCACTGCATTGAGAGGGGAGATGTAGAGAACACCCTTCCATTGTTCGCATGTAAATAAACCAAAGCCTGGGCACTAAAGAGGTTTCATTACTCGAAGCACCAAGTGATAACAAATGCCCTGCAAAACTGGGTTCTTCCCCGTCCCACTTTTCAATGCTTTTAAGGATATATTTGTTTTAAGAATGGCATTGAACAGTGCTAAGTGGAAGGTGAAAAAGGAACACTCTTGCCTGGATTTTGCTTTCATTTTTCACCCCTTGGGTATCCCAAACTATGGCCCCTCATTTGCAAGACCATCTGGACTGTAACTGCTGCAGGGAAAGCTTGCCTTTTGTACATACTACGTAGCCTGCAAATATATATTTGCAGGCTACTACCATGTGCAGTATATATTTATATATGTGTGTGCAGGAGATGCAGGATCTCCTGCACATGGTAGTAGATGTATACATACCCATAGGCTGAAAGTCAAGCAACGTAGGTTTCCTGGTACTTTCTCCACAGTTACCATGTATATGACGGTTGGCCTTATGAATAGACTCTGATATGTGGATTGACTCTGAGTTCGTACTTCAGATTACCATTTCTGATTGGATTTTTTCCCCCTGGCATTTCATGAAGAGCAGTAGGAAACAAAGTGTTCCCCTCCTAACTCTTTTTATGATGAGCACAGAATTAGGATTTAATATTGACACGGATCCTCTGGAATTCCTGACTTTGCCAAAAATCCCCCTTACCCCCCCCCCCCCCGAAAAAGAGGGGAGGAAAGTCTGTTGATGTTCCTGGAAGTGTCTAAGAGCTGGGATTTACCTTTTAAATAGGTTGCAAAGTCTCCCCTATACAGTAGAACTACAGTATCGGCAGGGGATTAGTTTCAAGCATCTCCCCCCCAAGCATGTCCCCCCCCCGCTGAAATTTGTGCAAGTATTGAACGCTGCATATGGTATGATCTCTAGCTCCCTCTAGTGGCCAGTTCTGGTCAATACACTCTGGATATACATATAAATATTTCTTGGGGGGGAGGGGTTGTTTAGTATTTTCAAACACCAGATAAGTGAATCAGTGGATACTGACTCCATGAATAAGATGTCTTATTGTGTGTGTGTATTTATATATTTAATACTAAAAATTAAATTCCCTCTCTCCCTACCACCGAAGCTTCCATCCACTTCCAGTTTTATTATTGCTGCTCTTAGCCAATCTGCAGCTTCTGGAGGATCCTGACAGACAGAATTTTGGATCTGGCCCCTTAAATTATCCACGCTTCATTTAAACTATATCTCATTGAGTGTATTGAGAGTTACTTCCAAGTAAGCATTTGAAAGATTGGTCTGTTGGGCGACTATCTTCTGTCCTGTTCTAGTGTTCCTTTAAATAAGTTCATTCATTCTCTTCTTAATATAATTCAGTGATTTGGGAGTATGCATGTCTTGTTCCACACTTCGGAAATCCTCTTTGGGAACCCCTGTTTCTTTTTGTCATGTATGATAAATGAAATAACATGGTTTTCCTTTGTGAGTCTTGAGATATGCACAGAGAAATCATGTCATTAAGTGGGTTTTTATTCCGATTTAATTGTTTATATGAGCACAGCCTTAGTCATGAATAGCTATGTCTGGACCGTAAACTGAATTTCCTGTGAATGTTGCATCCTCATTCTTTGATGATCACTTATTCATCACCAAAGAGGGAGAGAAAAGAAAATAAATATTGGGATAACAAAACACTGGCATGACAATGGCAGATGCTGATGTATCTGCATGGATGAAAACTTAGAACGGCCAAACAGAAATACAGTACATCTCACCAGAGTGGGGAGGACTGACCAGGTGATCTCTGTGCCTGCTCAGTCTGCCGTTGCTAATTCTTGACGGGCAGCGTCAAGGCCTCTGCTCCCTTCTCTTGTGTGTTCCAATTGAGATGAAAGATAGAGGATTAACTGTAGGCTCCTTGGCTTTCATTTTAAAATAGGTTTCTAGCCTCATGCCTCAAGTGAGGCATGATACAGTAAGTCCTTTCAACTTAACCCAACCCTGACAGCGTATTCAAGGTATTTGAGATGTTCAAGGAAGGGCTTACCATTGTCACTCCACAGTGGATTTTTCATGGCTGATGGCTGAGCAGGGATTTGAACCCAAGTATCCTGAGTTCCCTAGTCACGCTGGCCACGTGGCAACGGAAACTGTCTTCGGACAAGCGCTGGCTCTATGGTTTGAAAACGGGATGAGCACCGCCCCCTAAAGTCGGACAAGACTGGACTGAAAATGTTAAGGGGAACGTTTACCTTTACCTTTTCGCCCTGAGTTCTAATGTGACACTCTAGCCACTAGTCTTCATTGACATAGAGCATGCTGTGCTTAGGTACCAGACAGTACTTGCACTGTATAAAATTGTAAATGTTTGCCCTTCTCTTACCTTTACCCTATCTCCTTGTGTTTTTTTTAGCCCTGTTTCAGGATTGCTCCGAGCATGGTAAACTGAACTTCTTTAAAACTGACTCTGAAGCTGTAGTGTTGAATAATAATAAATATTAATAATGATGATGATGATGATGATGATGATGATGATGTACCATTAAATCAATTCTGATTGATGGCAACCCTTCTCAGGGTTTTCTAAGCTGCCTAGAGTGGTCCATTGGTCCAGATAGGTGGGGTATAAATCAATCAAACAAACAAACAAACAAACAAACAAACAAACAAACAAACAAACAAACAAACAAATAAATAAATAAATAAATAAATAAATAGAAGATATTCAAAAGTGGTTTATCGTTCCCTTCTTCTGGGGGAGCCCTGGGACTGTGCCACTTGCCCAAGGCCACACAGGGTGGCTCTTCTCCCAGGAGGCACAGTGGGGAATTGAACACCCAAGCTCTGGCTCCATAGACAGATACCTAACTAATCAACAAGTTCTAAAGCTAGAGGGTGTCATTGATGTTAGTTCTGAATATTGATGTTTAAGATGTTGATCAAAAAAAGGAAGACAGGAGTTATATAGCTTAACCGTATCAGCTGTATAGGGCCCCCTGATCAGGAGAAAGGTGGCCTATAAATAAAATGATAGATAGATAGATAGATAGATAGATAGATAGATAGATAGATAGATAGATAGATAGATAGATAGATAGATAGATAGATAGATAGATAGATAGATAGATAGATAGATAGATAGATAGATNNNTAGATAGATAGATAGATAGATAGATAGATAGATAGATAGATAGATAAGCTAATAGTATCAAATGCAAATTCAAGGAAATGAATATACTTATATGTTTAGGTGAAAATGAAAAGGATTCCGACCATGTTTTTTCTTTGATAAACACAGCATCAGTGCAGCAACTATTTGTTAGTGAGAATGAATATAAAATACAAATGTCAGTACATTGAAGAAACTGATAATTCCTTCTTTTTTAATTCACAGGTGAAATTGGGTGGAGAAGCTCCTAACTCCAATGTCATCCACATAGCCAATGGGACTGGTGATGGCAGCAGCAGATGGAAAAGTTCCAGTGGGAAATATGGTTCTGAATGCCACCTCTTAGACTTTGCCAAATCAGAACGGCCGCTGGTGGTCAACTTTGGCTCAGCCACCTGACCCCCCTTCACAAACCAGCTGTCAGCTTTTGGCAAGCTGGTGGAAGAGTTCTCCGGTGTGGCTGACTTCCTGTTAGTCTACATTGATGAGGCTCACCCATCGGATGGCTGGGCTGCTCCTGGTGTCTCATCCTCATTCGAGGTCAAGAAGCATAGGAACCAAGAAGACAGGTGTGCAGCTGCTCATCAGCTGCTGAAGCGGTTTTCCTTGCCACCTCAGTGCCAGATAGTGGCTGACTGCATGGACAATAATGCCAATGTGGCCTATGGGGTCTCATTTGAGCGTGTGTGCATTGTACAGAGACAAAAAATTGCCTACCTAGGGGGCAAGGGTCCTTTTTTCTACAATCTCGAAGAAGTTCGACTTTGGCTGGAACAGAACTTTAGGAAGAGATGAAGTCCAGATCTATCGAAGGAAGATTTGTTAAAGAGTGCCCCTTCAAAGTGTTGCAGCTGAGAAACAGATTGCATCCTGATTTGAATAGGGTTTTTTCCGACAGTTTTAGACGAGGAAGGTCAAACGAACACAACTGATAAACAAGCAACCTCCTCCCTCTGAAGCATCCCCTTGCTTTCCCAAGAAGAGCTGAGAAGAGTTTTGCCTTTGAGAAAGGAGGATTAATGGAACAAGAATGTTGTGTCCTAAGTTGTGTTGAGATGTTTGGTGCAGAAAGACAGTTTGGTGAGAGAGCTGTACGATCACTTAACATCAAGGGAGTATAAGTTCTCCTATGTTTGTCCTGCTGAATTCCACTTCATCAAAATGTTAAGAACCTAAAGTTTTGTCACCATTGTGTCTCTAATTGTGTAATAGACAGGGGCAGGTTGATATATATTACCAGTTCCAGCATCTGCTACAAACTGGCTACTTATTTATTTTTTGGAAGTAGAAAACAGGTATTGCCATAATTAGATATTTTCTTTTGCAGCATAGTTTAGCTGCACTTCTAAAGCCTTTTAATCTAAACAGAAAATCTTATGCTAGTTGGTTGGTTTCAATTACTGAAGCTGATGCATTCTGTTGTTAGGCTGTGGTGACATCTTAAACCTTTTCTAGCAGCACCCAGCACAGATGTCTTGTAGGGTGTTTTTGAATCTTAGTCTGCATCCCACATTCTAGCAACTGATAATGTTATAGCAAAAAGATACGTTGTATATTGGACCAACTCTGCCAGTATAGCTCCAGTGGATTCCTATGACTTTTTGACTGCAAAAATAATCAAGGATGGGAAAAGCCTGATGGATCGGAACCCATCCACTGGATCTTTTGCATTCCCAGAACCCATTCACATAACTGATTGGGAAAGATCAAGTGACAGAGTTGCTACATCTGAGTTTGGACAGAATCCAGCTAATAAGCATTTCTCACATTCATTCTATTGTGTGATAGTAGTCAGTTACATTTGGATAAACTTGCAGCTGTTAGCGATAATTTGTTTGTCTCAGACTCAAAGACTTATCATTTCAGTGCTGCCTTGCACTTGGAAATAAGCTCATCAGATGTAGAGCTGATCACTTCTTGTCTGTCCCCAAACTCAAATGAGCACATTCACATGCCGGTCTTTTATACACTCTACATACCCAGAAGACAGGAGTTTTCTCTCTCTCTCTCTGGCATCCCACATTGTAGAAAATTTACTATTGAAAAGTCTGCAGAATTCATCTCACACCTTTTAGCTAGTGGAATGGGTATAGGCAGAAGATCCTGGTAGATGTGATCGCAGCATGTGCTGAAATTTTTCATCTGACCCCTTTGCAAATGAACCATATGAAAATGATGTTGGATATAACATTCTTCTTACAAGGGTATAATGTCAGGATTACCTCTCTGTAGGAAAAACTGTGTTTCACCATTTTTAGAAGGAAAGTAAGGGAGGAAGTATTAAGTGGAGAGGAGAGGGCCATGTGAAATGTGAAGTCTGTTTGTGAAAGGTCTCATTTTGGCACTTCAGACATGGCACTAGTCATGGTCTTCTTTACCCAAACATATCCCTTGGTGTGCATGTCTGCATTCACAATCACACAAGGGCATGTCTAACCAAGAAAAGCATGGCTAACGCTGGCCCTGGATGCCTGGAACTGAAACAATGTATTTATCAGTGTGCTTGCTTGCTTGCTTTTCTAAAGAAGAATAGTAGTACATTTAGAATTAGGCAATAGTGTTTGTTTTAGAAGGTTTTTATGTAAAAAACTTAATTTATTGCATTTGGAAACAGTGATGGAGAAGGTGTATCTTTGTATGAGGGGGGAAAGCATGGGGGGGATGGGATTGGGGTTGTACACCACTTTACCTCATTGGTTCTGAAACTTTGTCCATTATATAAAGTGGTAACGCTGATTTTCCACCCGGTTTGGCCTAGAAGCCTGCACTTAGTTTTTAATCCTATTAGTTCAGTGAAGTTAGTTCAGCACGAAGGAGATTTCCATCTCAGGGTTGATGAACTGCCAAGCCGCAGCAGCCTAGCCTCTTTGCCCATCTTCCCATTTCTAAGGAATTTTCTCTTAAAATTCATGTTGGTTTTACAAACATAACCCACTGCCCTCCCTTCCCTTCACCCCGCCAGCCCCCACTGACAGTATGGTGAAGAACACAAGCAGTTGTACGAATTAGCTGGCATTTCTATGAAACAGAGGAGAGAGAAGCGGTTTTGAAACGGCCACTCAGCTCAGTTCACTAATACCTCACAAGACCATTGGAGATGACCAAGAGCGGCATGAGCAACAATAAAAAGTCTGGTGACACCTTAAAGGTTAAAAGATTTCATTTGGCCTAAGAAATTGCAAACCGCAAGCCAGATTCATTTAAAAAAGAAAGAAAAAAAGGTAGATGTGCAGTGGGGCTGCTAGAAGAACCACCCAGTGGATTACGCCCACTCCATTTTTATTCGACTTATTCAAAGACCACAGAGTGGAAGAGATGGGTTGTGATTTGAACTTCACCCCCTTAAATTATGTGGTGAGGCTCCTGTCCCAATTCATGAGCCAGCCTTGGGTATGGGATCATTTTTCTCAGATTATTTAAGAATGAAATGCAAAACAAAACAAAACAAACAAAAAACACTTAAGCAGTTGTGAATTAAGGTAGCATTACCTCTTATTTGCACATCCCCATTTGACTTTTGTCAATTTTGTTAATGCACAGGAGGATTTTGGAATATATTTTTGTGCCATGTAGGTATGAAAACTTGAGGAGGAGGTATTAATGCTACTTCCCCCTCCCATTATTTGCCTTCTTTCCTTCCCTCCTTTATAAAGACACATAGCAGGTGGGCACATAGATTCTGAGAAAGTATGATAAAGAAACTGAGGAGGAATGAACTGGGGAAAGCTGCAGTGGGAAGGCAGAGAGATGCATGTATGCTCTTAAAAGTTCAGGGTATCACACAGATGAGGGAAGACTTGAAAGAAGAAGGAGAGAGAGAGTGGCAGGAAATGTGAGGAACTTGAGGAGGAGAAGATGTTATTATAAATAAGGACAACAGTTGTGCAGTAGTCAATAACATACAGGTCTTCTCCACTTCTAGAATATTGACAAACCCATGAAACCTATTTCTTGGGAGATATTTCCAGTCTTTAGAAATAATATTCCAAGGAGCAGGTTCCTTAGTGAGATGTGTTCTAGTATCTTTTTTTAAAGTTATCCAGATGTTACCTCTAGACAACTATGTTGAAATTGCTACTTTAACCATTTCAAGTCACCTAGACTCCTATTTTGGGCAGAAGGACAGGATATGAATTAGACAAAAATAAAAGAATAAATTGCAGTCTAATCCACTTAATCCAGTATCCTCTTTTCCACATCCCTCAAGAGGCAAGTTAAAAGATGTTATAGTCCTGTCCACAGCTGTTTGCTAGGGAATGTCATCTGCTGTGTACTCTAAATGTTCACAATGATCTCTGAACTCATTAAGGCATAACGGAGATTAAACTCACCATTTGTGGCACATATTCTCTTTAGTGGGATTAATTTATAGAGGTGCTGAACAGCAAGGGTGTGAATGCAGTATTCTTAGTTTAATGCACCTTACTCCCACATTGCTCTGTTTAGAACTGTACCCATACTCCTACAACTAAAATCTATGCTCTACTTTGGTTGGATCTTGCCCATGCTCTTTTCTTGTCCCATGTAATTCACAGTCAACGAGAAGTCAAATTTTTAAATCTTCCTTTGCTTTTACTCACCTACTTCTTCTGCATCTAGTGTTTGCGGAAGCATGTTGTCCATGGGAAGACAAGCTATTTGCAGAGAATCCTCATCCCCTTTCATGGCTGAGTTGACCTTTTGACTTATATAAATAACTTAGTATTCAAAGTTTGTGTAAATCAACGGAAGCTCTAGACACAAGGAAAGTAACTCAACATTCTTATAGCATCTTAGACTTTCAGGTTTATTATGGTGTCTACTTTGCTTAGCTTTTACCTGTTAACTTTCAGTGTGCCACAAGATTTATGATCTTTGCACAATGCAATCCTGAGCACTCTCACTCCATGATAAACTAAGTTGTGTTCTGTGAGGATTTTTTTCAGTTGAGTGTGGGTAAACTTGCAGCCTCATGTCTATATCACTGGGCATGACAATCCTCTTACCGTTTCAGTAGGGGCTTTTCAGTAGTCTGTACAACCTCAAACAATTGATTTGATCACATTTGCTGTCATTTCATTTCACATAATGTTCCCCTTTCATGTCTAGTTAGGGGAAAGGACATTCCGGTCAAATTATATTTTATCACTGACTTGTATAACCATAATCTCGTTGCTTCATTCTTCTCCAAAGTCTTTCTAGGTTTTTTTAAATTTCATTTTGTTTTTGGGTAAATGCTTTCTTTTTATGTCGAAGATAGAAACAAAGAAGCAAGACAAACTCAAATCACTATTTCGGAGGGAGACAAAAGTTGATTTCCCTTGTTATGCTCTTCTTTACATTCCATTTGGGCTTTCAAAAAAATTGCAAAAATTGCTTTTGTCAAAAATTCCCTCTCTTCCTCATTTGTATGCTTGGATAGAAAAACCTAACAAAGTTTTTGTATGTGACGGTTGAAATATACCTTACATTCACAAGAGGGATTGTGGGTGACTAAACTGGAATGCAAATTTGCATATCTAAAGTCATGGCAATTTTGCATGGCTGTTTCTCCTTCTTGGTTTACATTATCCTGCCTTTTTTTCTTATGAGCAAAAGGCTTGTAATTCGTAGACATGTGATTTTCACACAGAATAGGGATTAGGAAAGCAGATTCTGCCAACAGAAAGTGCATCAGATTTCTTTCTTTTTCAACAACACATATCGCTGACCCAGTCCACCAGCTTAATCAGGCTCACCAACCAGCACATTAATCACAGTGCACACTCTTAAACACCCTAAGAAAATAGAAACACCTGTTACCTCACCAGAACAGCATATATATTTTTTTATCCAAACCATTCACCAACAATGTAGTTGGAAGAACATTTTAATTTTTGTAGCTTCCCTTCTGGAGTTCAGTTTCCTTTAGTGTTTTATCGTATTAGCAGCAGTATTGTTGTCAGCATCCTTGGAAAAAATTGTATTAGAGTTCATAGGCAACCTCTTATCATCAGTGACAAATATGGTGGATATTAGATCACACGTAGAAAATAACAGCATTACTGGTAGATCAGTAGGAGTTCATAAAATAAAATCAGGATATCAGGTTTGAAATATGAGCAAGAAAGTGTCTGAGAAACAGTTCATTTTCATGTTAATTGCCCTGGTACATTATGGGACTGACTTCTGCTGAAAGCACGCTACTGGTTTATAGATGGTATATTGCTATATTTTAGCTAATTATGTTCCTGGGATAAAGAATTTTCCAAAAGATCCTTCTGCCATTTACATTTTTGTTCCACTGATAGGAGATTATTCCTATAAATATAACACATTACATGTGAGAAGGACTAGCTGCCTGGGAATGTAGTTTAGATTTTCATGCTCTAGAATGGAGTATTGGTTTGGTACCGTAAGATAACAAATTTCAGGGCAATATATACATTTGAACTTCACAAGAGTATGCATTGAGCCAGAGCAACCTGAAATGGCTAGTGAAGTATTCTAAGTAGTCAGATTCAGACATAATTGTACTTTAAGATCTGTTGATTGCCTTACATCCCATTTGATGAGGAATTCTAGATCCACTGCACTATATGTATGGAGAATCTAGTGCTGGATACAAGTGTTAGCCTGGGAAACCAGATGTCTTTTTCTTTATATCTTGAACTACTGTGAAGACTTCTAGAAATGGCTTTCATGTACCGTCTTTAACACTTCTGTCTGTTGAAAACTACAAGGCATATGTCAATGGATCAGATACAATATAATTTTTTAAAACTTTCTACAATGCTCTGTAGACGTGTAAGAAAGCTGAAGGTGAGATCATGTACATGAAGAATATTTAGCCCAGTGAAATGTCTCATGAATTTACCTAGCATGCTCTGTGTGCCTTTTGTGTTTGCTGGATGTTGGATTTAGATCTTAAAACCCACATTCAATAATATAACCAAAGCAATAAGAGATGTATCAGGTAGGGAATACAGGCCAGTCATATTCATTGCTACACCATGTCAACTCAGGACCCATATTGACCAAACTTTGGCTGGACCTAAGACTTGGCGCGCAGGGGCGAGAGGTGAGGATGAAGGAGAGGTGCCGATGCGTCCATGAAGAGCACTAACAAAAGAGTGTCTCACTCCGTTAGTGTTCAGATGTTTCTTCATTGGCATTTCTCTCTGTCTGTTTCTCTCAGCCTTCAGAAATGAAGATGAATTTCATATCCATACAATATGGGTCCTGAATCAATGTGGTGAGGAATCACTTTTTTGTGTGTATGCATGTATCCTTGTTTAGCTGTCACAAATACACTCTGTAGAAGAACAAACACAAACATGTTACAATATTGGTGCTGCGTGGACCATGTACTTTGTAGAACTGTTCTTTTTTTCCCTTGCATTTTAATAAAACTGGGGAAAACACCCCAATCTTCCCTTGCTTGTTCTTTTATGGATATTTAGATATAACACAGACCTCAAGCTCTTCCAGATGATGAAAGGCCAGCTTCAACAGCAGATTCTTTGGAGTGGTTTGATCCCCATTGACTTGAGAATAGCACTGTGAAAGTAATTTATTTAAACTGTGAATGTAAGAGATAACAAGAATTCAATGAGCTGCAATCCACCCACAAGCATCAGTGTTAACACCAGGTATGAAAAGGCCCTGGATAAGACATCCTCTACTGCAGTGGTTTCCAACCTTATATCCCCAGATATTCTTAGACTACAACTTGTGGTGAAAGGATCTGGGAGTTTTAGTCGAACATCTGGGGACCCAAGGTTGGGAGCCTTTGCTCTAATTGGCCTCTCCTAAGGCTATAGTGATTTGTAATCTCAAAACATGCCCAACAGCTGAAGTGGTTCCACTGTTCCTCCTACTGTGGCCCTGCACTGGTACAGTGGGTTGTTGAAGGCTCATTGCCAGTCAGTGGGTTTCTCCCTTCCTAGGTTCTGAGCTGCTGTTACCAAGCCTTGGTCAGCAAAAGGTCTCATGAGCCACACCAGTAGCATTCCACTGCATATCTTGTTTCAAATGACACAAAAGGTTTAAGTGTCTGCCAGTCACACCAGTCTCTCTCTCTCTCTCACACACACACGGTACCCTGTCCTTATTCTTATTTTGGTGTTTTGCACAAACATAACATACATTAAATCACCTTCAAACTTAGCCATTGAGCCCTGGTGCCAGCTGGCAATGGGTTGAGGTGCTGCCAAAGCTTTAGACTGTACATGATCTCACACACAAAACCCAGACTTTCTTGTGCTCTAGATACTTTTGAACCTGACATTTGACAAGACACCTGGAGAAGCATAGCCAGTGCTCTAAGATCTAGCAACTCAAGTATCAGAAAATCAATCCCAAAATTATCAGCATTCTGCCTTCTTTGTTATTTTTGAAAAGCCTTCGTGCTTTATTACCCAAACCCTTTTAAACGCCAAATCAATGAACAACTAAAAGCAAAAATAAAAATCTCATCCTTACCCTGGAAATTGTTCATGCTTTCCTGAGAGGTCAACTTCTCCCCATTTGGGAACTGTGAAATTTGTCAAAAGGCAAGAGAGAAGGTATGATGGCATTTCTGGGACCCTTGTAGGAAAGGATGAATGAATTGGGTTGAGAGTGCCCATGCCATTATATGGCACAGCAAGCATCTCACTCCAGACTGCAGATATTGGGAAATGGCAGCAACATTCTGGATGGGAAGCTTTCAGGTGTGGTGGAGGATATCTCAACATCAGTGTTTAAGAGCAATTCAACTGATAATCCCATCAGTTTTGGTATATGACATGGGACAAGAAGCCATTTTGTTTTTCACCTCAGACAACAAAGTATTTTCAACCAAATCTGTTGCCTTCACACTGAAAAGCCAGCGACAGCTGGCTTTTCGTTCAGTAATCATCTCCTACTGGCCAGATGCCTAAGTGAGAAGGTGCTTCATCTCTTAATGATCAAAATATCAAGTGCTATTTGGCCTTGACTGCACATTTCTCAGGGCCAAGATCCACCTATGACTGTCATACAAACCACCAAAAGCAGCAGTTGGAACAGTGAGTCTAACATTTATGGCCAGGTAGGAATGTCGGATAGTTACCAGTTGCCCTAGCCATCAGGACCTGGGCCTCATAAGACCATATGAAATTAAGAATATAATTAGAGCTGTGCTGGATCAGACCAAATGCTTATCCAGTCAAATATTCTCTTCACACATGAGATGTAAGGACTAATCAGAAAATGTCTTGCTCTGATTTTCTGAATCCTGCCATGACGAGACTCCCTGATAAGTCTGCCTATTGCACCAATGAGATTTTCTGGCTAGGATACATTTCCGATCTACACACATACATACACACAGCTGTTGTTCTGGTTATGAAACTGCCAACTGAGAGTCTGATGGCTTTTTCAGTTGATGTTGTGAAAGAAAGATGCTATTCTGTGCAGAGATTAAAATAGTCCTATGAAGCTTGACTGTCCTTTCTTCTGTCCTTTCCAGGTGAATCCTGCTCAGAGAAAATGCCACTCTGTGCAGGAATTGCATAGTTGGGCATTTTTTTCCAGGAAAAAATGACTGTAAAATGTCCAAGAAATGCTTTGCACGGAGAGACATAGATCGAGAAAGAAGAACTTCCTTAAATTTCCTAGACTGTCCTTTATATGCTCTGACCTATGCTGACTGTTCTTGACTTACACTGATATTCCTAGGCTTGCTAATATAATTTCTTCCTCACACTTCCTTCTTGATTCTCTTGGGGGGCAGGGGAGAAAGAGAGGACATATTGCCTTTTTTCTTAAAAGTTGAGGGGATAGACACAGTTGCCTTCATCTGGTTGTTTAATTATACTGCACCTTTCTCCTTTGCCTCCTTCAGTTGACAATGGAAATCACTCGCACACATAATCAATAACCTACAACTAGAGATGGACACATACAGAAAAAAAATCAGGCTATTTCGTGGTTTGTGAATAACAATGAACCACCAACCACCACGGCTCCTGGGAGAATGAACCTGTTCATGGCTTGTTTTGGGGCCTTGCTTCTGAAGAGTGGGGAACCTATCACCTCCACCCCCTTTGACCCCTGCCTGGGCCCTTCCCACTACCCCTGTCGCCTCCCTGCCTGATACCACCACCTCCTCCTTTGCTGCTAACACCATTTTTAGAGAGAGCAGGGCAAATTCCTGGAAAGAAGGTCAGATGTCTTCAGAAGAGTAGGCAACAATGGCTGCATCATCTGCAAAGAGGAAATCCTGCATGCATTTCAGCTGAACTTTGGTCTTTGCTCTCAATCTAGAGAGATTAAAGAGCTTTCCACCTGATCTAGTCTGGAGATAGACACCTTCTGTTGAAGTTCCAAAAGCGTGCTTCAGCATGACAGCAAAAAAAGATCCCAAACAAAGTCGGGATGAGGACACAGGCCTGTTTCACTCCGCTTCCGATGTAAAAGGGATCTGATGTTGAGCCATCAACAACTACAGTGCCCTTCATTTCCTTATGAAAAGACCTAATGATGTTAAGGAGTCGAGGTGGACATCTAGTCATGGGAAGTATTTTAAAAAGGCCCTCCCTGCTAACCAAATCAAAGGCCTTTGTAAGACATGTGAAGGCCAAAAAGAGTGGCTGTCATTGTTTCCTACATTTCTCCTGCAACTGTCTGAGGGAAAATACCATGTCACTGCTGGAACTATTAGCTCGAAATCCACACTGTGATTCTGGATAGACTCTGCCTGCAAGCACCTGGAGCCTCTTCAGCACAACATGGCAAGCAGTTTTCCTACAATGCTGAGAAGAGAGATGCTACCATAGTTATTGCAGTCACTCTGTCACCTTTGTTCTTGTACAATGTGACAGTGTTTGCATCATTCATGTTCTGTGGTACTCCACCTTCCCTCCAGCAAAGATAAAATACTTAATACAGCTTGATGGTGATGATCTCTTTACAGCACTTCAGCACTTCAACAGGGATGTTATCCTTCACAGGTGCCTTCCCTGAGGTGAGGGAATCCAAGGCCACTTTTATTTCTGCTGAAGTTGGTTCACTGTCCAACTCTTCCAAGACAGACATGCACTTGATGTTATTTAATGCCTCTTTGGTTACTACATTCTCTCTGGAATATAGCTCAGAGTAGTGCTGCAGCCAGTGTTCCAACTGCTGTGCTCGGTCCTGGATGATCACGCCTGTAGCAGTCTTCAAAAGACCAGATTTCTTCTGTATTGGACCTGAAGCCTGCTTTAGGTCATACCGTCATACATTCCCTTGATGTTACCTGTGTCCGCTGCTATCTGTATCTGAGAGTAGAGCTGAAGCCAATAATCATTAGAACATGTCCTGGCAGTCTGTTGTACTTTGCTACAAGCAACTCGAAGAGCCTGAAAGCTGTACTCACTAGGACAGGCTTTGTATGCTGCTAGAGCTCTCCTCTTTTCCTCGAAGGTTGACATCAACTCCTCCAAATGGGCTTCAAACCAGTCTGCCATCTTTTTGGTCTTCTTGCCAAATGTGGACAAGGTGATGTTATAAACAGCATTATTGAAATGTTCCCATCAGGTGCATTTGCACCAGCCAGGCTTGGAAGAGTTTCCTCAAGTGCTTGGACAAATTCCTCCACTTTTCTCTGATCGCAAGTCTTGCTGATGTCAATACGTGGTCTTCCTTCTGTTTTCATACAATTTCTTTATTCGCTGAGTGCTCAGTGGAAGGACAGATCCTGAAGCTAAGGCTCCAGTACTTTGGCCATCTCATGAGAGGTGCATTTGCACCAGCCAGGCTTGGAAGAGTTTCCTCAAGTGCTTGGACAAATTCCTCCACTTTTCTCTGATCGCAAGTCTTGCTGATGTCAATACGTGGTCTTCCTTCTGTTTTCATACAATTTCTTTATTCGCTGAGTGCTCAGTGGAAGGACAGATCCTGAAGCTAAGGCTCCAGTACTTTGGCCATCTCATGAGAAGAGAAGACTCTTTGGAAAAGACCTTGATGTTGGGAAAGTGTGAAGGCAAGAGGAGAAGGGGACGACAGAGGGTGAGATGGTTGGACAGTGTCATCAAAGCAACCAACATGAATTTGACACAACTCCGGGAGGCAGTGGAAGATAGGAGGGCCTGGCGTGCTCTAGTCCATGGGGTCACGAAGAGTCAGACATGACTAAACGACTAAATGACGAGAGCGTCTAGTGAGGATCAAATCGAGCTGATGTCAATGCTTCAATCTTGGATGTCTCCAAGAGACTCTGTGTTGAAGCTTCATATTAAAGAATGTGTTGCTGACACAAAGACCATAATAACAGCAAAACTCCAGCAAGCATTGGCCATTTTCATTCATCTTCCCAATGCCAAAGCAGCCTAGACAAGTGGGCTAAGAAACAAGGCCACACATAATATTGGGAGCTAATTTACCTATTTATTTGTTAATGTAGTCCTATGTTATCCTTTGCCAGCAGGG